GGTTTGGCAGGTGGTGATGGGAGGCCTAGAATCACTACAGTCAACCCGTATCATAAGGATGCGCGGAAGTGATGCACAATGGCCCTGGAGGCCCGTGCGAACGCTTCTCGAACGAGGCTGGCCAGCGAACGTCGCTACGGATGGGCCGAGGAGGCAGGGTGCAAGAGTGCCCTTGGGAAGGTTGCCCATCCTCACTACCTCTCGCTCCCGCGCCCAGCTCGTCCTCGACCACGTTGCCGCCCCAGACGGACGCCCCGAGGCCGAACGGCGTCCCGTTGGCCCGCAGCACGGCCTGCACGCGGCGCTGCCGGGCGGCAGCTCGGCGGTACGGGTGTGGGCTGTCGGGCGCCGAAGGGGGCCCCCGCTCGAGCGGGGACCCCCCTCCGACAATACGCTTTTGGCGGAGGCGGCCTCGCGCGCGGCGACGAGGCTGAGTCAGTACGAGTACTAAGCGCGGGGTCGCGGCCAGGCCCTCAAGAATCGCTTTGGGATCCCACAGCATTCCGTGAACACGCACCCACCAAAGGTGCACCCCGACAAATCTGGGAGTCGCACACGTACGGGTGCTAGCTGCCAGCTCATGACACGAGGGTGCGTGGGCACGGCCGCGCCCACACCGGCCTCGCGACTGTGCTCGTGCTGCTGCGTGGCGCTGCTGCAGAATGGGAGACCCCCCATACGTGCTCGCACCGTGAAGCATCGGAACGCCTCTTTTCTCACCGTTTGGCCTCTGGGGCCCTTGCTGGGCCACAAGACCGTCAGACGAGCGACTCGGGATGAAACACCAGTCCCTGGGAAAGGGTCGGGACTTCTGGGGGCCCCAGACTGACAAGGCTAGGACGTCGCATGCCTGGGCCCGGGCGCCGCAGGGTCCGGCGCCCAGGGAAGAGGCCTGGCCACGAGAGGCCTGACCACTGCTCAGGAACTTCACGGTAGGGGGGCCTGACACCTGGGCCCCTCTCCTTCCCTCCACGTCCACCTTCCAGGACCTACCTCCGCCCTTCGCGGAAGGTGCGGGGAAATGCATCGAAGCTCGAGGAAACCTTACGACATTCAGGGGGACCCATATAGATCATATCGAACAAGGGGCGGAAGGGTAGGGCGGAAGGTCCGGAAGAATGAGGGGGAGGGAACCCGAGGCCCCGATACTTTGCGACTTCGTATGAAAATCCGCAGCCCTCACCCGCAAGGCGCATCACGTCCCACAACCCCCACGCAATGCCAGGGGGGGGTCACCGCTAAGGGGTCGCCACTTCCTCAGAGAAAGCCCCACTTGCTCTCAGAGCTGGGGCCCTCAGAGCACCCAAGAGCCCACCGAGACGACCCCAAGCGTCAAAAGACATCCTCGAGATTGGATCCTGGAGCCGCGGCCCTCAAGAGCGGATGAACCCCCCCTGAGTGGTGATTTCTGCGTCTCCGGGGAAGACCCAAGAAACGTCTCAGAAGGCCGGTGCGCTTCCGAGCCTTCTGAGAAGGCCCGCCCCGGCTCGCTTCCCCCCCCCCAGGCTCTCCGCCGAGAGGGACGAGGCCCTCCCAGAGCAGCTCGGGCGCCTCTGTCCATGGGGGTGCAACAAAACAGGTGGGATAGAGAAAGGCGCTCCTTTCGTGCACCTTGGGAGCTCCAGGGGGGTCCCTCCTGCGCCCCTTTCGAACCCCTTTCCTGCAACCTGCGATCCCCCCCCCCACTTGGCGGCTTAAAACAACCCTGAAATAAGCAACTTTACCATTCCTTGGGGGGCGATTCTTACTTCCCCCCGCTTCCGCCGAGCTTCCGCCGGCTTCCACCGGCGGAAGCGGCTTCGTCTCGCTTCCGCCGCCTCCCGCCGAGGAAGAGATCAGTTCCCTCCATCTTCGAAGGCGAGGCACTTTCTTGCATGCCTCATGTATCGCTCCCCCTATTGCAAGACGCCCGAAGGGCCGCCGATAGCGCCCGCCTCCGGGCAAGACCTCTCCCACTCGCACCCGCGGCGCGCTGGCGCTCGCGCACGCACCGTTTTCAAAACCGCACGCCGGCGCGCCCCGCCGACGAGGCGCCGGGAAAACTGGCAGAGGCTCCCGCGCGGTGTGCTGGCGGACTGGGCTGCGAAGGAGACGAAGCGCTAAGTCGGGCCTGTCCCCCCTACAGGCCGATTTTGGAGGAAAAATGAAGAATACCAAAAACAATGCCCCAAGAATGCTCAAAAATGTTCAGCAAATGATCCGCAGACTATTTTTTACTGTTTTTTGAATATCCCCCCGGTAGCGGGACAGGCCCGACTGAGACGAAGCGGGGCGCAGCCTTCTCGGAAGGCGGGGGGGGGGGGGCGCATGGAGGGAGAGCGGCCTCGGCATCACGCCTCATGTCGCACCTCCCTCTGACGGGCCGGGGGGGTCCTTGAAGGCTGCCCCCTCTCCAAGCCCTGAGGTCGTTTTGCTCGTGGCTGTCTACGCGGCTGTCCGCAAGCGGGCAGCGCGGAAGGTCATTGGGGCAGGGTCAGCAGGAGCGCACAATCCGAGCCTCAGCGAGGGAGGAGCGGGCAGGGCGGGGCAGGAGCAGGAAGAGGAGAGCAGCAGTCGTGCGGCACCTTGCACCCCGTGTGGCCCCTTGAGGTACGGATCCAATGCCACAGGCCCGAAGCTCGAAGGAGGAGAAAGAGGAGGAGGAGGAGGAGGAGGGAGGAGGAGGAGGAGGTGATGGGAGGAGGAGGAAACTGAGGAGGAGGAGGATGAGGGAAAGGAAGTTGAGGAGGATAAGGAGGAGGAGCAGAGAAGGAGGAGGAGTGAGGAAGGAATGAGGACAAGGGGTACCTCCTCCTCCTCCTCCTCCTCCTCCTCCTCCTCCTCCTTTCTCCTTCTTTTCCTCCTTCTTCTCTCCTCGATCTCCTCCTCCTCCTATTCCTCCCCCTCCTCCTCCCTCCCCCTCCTCCTCCTCCTCCTCATCATCATCAGCAGCATCATCAGCATCACCCTCCCGCCCCCCCCTCCCACCCACCCCAACCCTGGGCGGCTGCGCCTGCCCTCCCCAGCGCGGGCGCCCACTCGGCAGGGTGGATGGCCGAACGACAGAGGTGGCGGTGCCGCGCGGGCCAGGCGCTCCCTCCTGGCGGAAAAACTACTGCGCCGGGCGGGCGCCGCGCCCTCCTTTCCGGTGCCGCGCCCGGCGCAGCGCCGGAAAAAACTATTGCGTTTCGGATGAGCGCGCCCGCCATCGTTCGGCGGCGGGCACAAAGGGGGGCCCCCTCCTTGGTTCTGATTGGCACGTAATCCAAATACGCCACCTGGCTGGCCGATGGCAACCCCATCCGGGGGGCCCCGTCCTCACCCGACCGCTCCTTGTTTAAAAAGAGTAGGACATCCATGTTCTTCGTGCCAGCGTAAACGTGCTGTCGCCCACGTGGCAAAATGCATGGCACTAGCGGGCCGGGGCGCACATCCCGCGCAAAAAGGCTGCAATGTCGCTGTCGCCTCGGCGCCGCGCTCCGTTGTCGAGTGACTCGGGCTCCCGCTCGGGTGCGGCGCACATCTTTCGCACGCGACGTCGTCAACGCGCGAGCAGACTTCGCCTGAGAGTGGCGCTCCCGCTTCGACGCGGCGCACACTTGTCACTCGCACATTTGGGAAGGCCCGAGCGAGTGGGCAACTTGTCGCCCTCGTCCAAGCTCCGTGCGCATCTCGTTCGGATGTGGCGACCCGGCGCCCAGGCGCCACACAGCTTGTGAGTGAGTTTGGCAGCGATGTGTCAGCGCGACGCCTACTTCGTCTTCGCCGCGCCCACCACAAGCTCTGCCGCTCCCGCCCCCGCGCGGCCCGCGCAGTTCTCTCTTCGCATCTTCCCCCTGCTGTTCCTCTTGCCCATCTCGCGCCTGCTGCTCGCACGGAGGGCCGAGGTAAGGAGGGTCGTGGCAAGAGTAGTGGTAGTGATGAGTTGCCTGTCAGCGCGAAGGGTAGAGGACTCGTCAGTGGCACAGCCAGCTGGCGAGGGCGGGGCGTTGGCCCCACCGATAGAGGGACTGGGGGCGGGGAGGCTGGGGGAACGAAGAATGGTGCACAGTGAGCGCTGGTCCCCAAGGGGTACCCGCCAAGGCTGCGCGCCTAAACGGCGGATCGCCCTGGAGGAGCAGCGCAAGCTTCGCTGAAGAGGCCATCTGGGCTCTGTAGCGGTAGAATGACTGTCGCGAAGACGACGCTCAGAAGTCTCCGAGTGGCACGGCTGGTGTTATGAGTAGACTCCCAGGAACTACCTGACCTGACCTGACCTCCTCCTCCTCCTCGTCCGTCATCGCCCAAGAGGGCCTCCATGGGGGGCCCAACATGGCCTGTGAACCCCTAGACGGTCCATGGAGGCTCTAAGACGGCCCACCAAGGGCCCCAAGAGACATCCCAGCCAGCCAAACCAAGACAGCCCTAAGACGGCCCAATAGGGACCCGAGACGGCCCAAGAGGGCCTCAAGGGGGCCCAAGAGGGCCGCAAGGGACCCCCCAGACTGCCCGAATAGCCTCTATAGCTTCTCAGGAAGTGGAGACGAAGCGTGTCACATGTGTTGGCCTTCTGGGCGCTGCTAGTCGGGTCGTCACACAGAGCACTTTGCCATCACAGTGGCGGATGAGCCAGAGGCACCTCGATGAAGGTGCTTCTGGCCCGAGGCCCCACGGTGTCCCCAAGGCTGATGCGGAGGCCCTGGTGGCCAAGGCTCCAAGATTGGTCGTGTCGCTGGGGACACTTCGGCTACGGACACCTCCGTCAACGCCAGGCTCCTGGTCGCACCTTCCTGGTGAAGTGTGCTGCCTTGAGGTCTTCCCTCCGGATGAGCGGCCCTCACCCTCGTCCCCGGCATCTTCCCCGCGAGCCTTCCACCCCCCAATTCCCCTCATCCGCTCTCCTCCGCATCCCCCCTCGCCCCTCGTCCACTCATCACGCTCCCCCATTCCACCACCGCTCCAGCCCACCTGTTCTCCTCCCCTCGCCTCCACTCCCGCCCCCCTCTGGCAGAGGGCCACCGCGGCCGACCGCTCCGCGCGCCTCACATCCCGTCCACCATGCCTCCGGTGTTGAGGGTCTCCAGCGGCGCGTCCGGCACGTAGACGACCGGGCCGAGCCAGTAGCTCTGGAGGAACGGCAGCGTCGCGGTCCCAAACGCCAGGGCCAGGACGGCCACGCCGGCGTAGGCCAGGATCGACAGCTCGATGCTCATGCCCTGCTCGAGCTCGCGGCCACCGCCCTCCGCCCTCCGAAGCTTCTCCTCCGCCACGGCGGGGGCGTCCCTCCCGAAGACATCGTCTCCGGGGTCGCCAGGGAACAGCTCCGCGGGCCCATCCTGCGCGGCCTGCAGGGCCCTCCAGCTCAGGACTTCGACAGGCCAGGACTTGGGCAAATCAGGGCAACGACGCGCCAAAGTCCTGGCCTGTCGGGCTCGACCCAGGACGTCAGCACATCGTTTCCTCGACTTGCAGGAGTCCCGGTTCATCAAAAAGCACTGGTCACTGGTCTCCAGGGGAGCTCAACCCGGGACTTTGGCAAATCGTTCCCCCGACCTGCTGAAGCCCTGGTTCCTCAAAGACCTGGTCTGGAGGGCCCCGCGCGGCCTCGCGGTCCCTGGTCGGCCGCGCGGACAGGCCGTCCAGGGGATCCGCGGCGTGCCTCTGGAGGGAAGGAGCGCGAGGACAGCGACGAAGACTGAAGACTGACGAGCAAAAAGGCCCACGACGAGCACGACGAGGACCACGACGAGCACCACGACCACGAGAGCCACGACGAGCATGAGAACCGCGACGAAGACGGAAGACTGAGCACGCAAGCGTGTGTGCCGATCTTGGTGATCGTCCATCTTGGCGAGCCCGAGCCCAAGTTCCTTCGAGACTGACGAGCTCGCTCAACCGCTTGCCAGGGTAGTGCCAGTGCTGGCAGAGACGGAATAGAGGAGCACGGCCAGGTCGAATAATTCGTCAGTTCGTCCATCTTGGCAATCGTCCATCTTGGTAATCACATTCGTGGATCATCCTCGCAAGTCGGCGACGGCCGGAATGGACCATGGCCAAGATTCGCGCGGACAAGATCCCGCGCCATGTAGAGGCCTCCTGAATGGGGTCCGAGTAGATGGGATCAGAGGGTCGCGCCGCATCGGCGACATCGGCGATGCATCGGCGACGTCGACTTCAAGTAAATCGGGCTCCACATCGAGCCACATCGCCGATGCATCGGCGATGCGGCGCGATCCTCCGACCCCATCTGCTCACGCCGTCTGGGAGGCCTGGAGACGTGCCTGCCTGGATCGGCGCGGGGGCCATGGTGCCTCTGCCCTCGATGCCTCGCCACCAGCCCGCCTCCAAGCGCGCCGCCCGCAGCGCCGCGCCAGGCCACGAAGCGCGGACCGCCGCCCGCGCACACGGCCAACGCCTCGAGCGTGAATGAAATCGGGGACGACAAGAAGCGACAAGTGTAGGGGGGGAAGGGGGGGGAAGAAACGTGCACCCTTCGCTCCCCTCTGGGGTCCAAGGGGCCCCTGTAGGGCCCGTTCAAGGCACAGCAGGTGTATCTTCCCTCACCCTCTCATGTATCGCAACCCCTATTACTCGACGCCCGGACGCCGCGCACAGCGCCAGCGCCGGCCGGCGCGCGCGGGCCGGCCGGCGCTGCGGGCTCCCGGCAAGCCCGGCCACCATGGCGTCGCCTCCGCCGGGCTGCGCGCCCTCCCGCTGGCAGGATGCGGGGCCGAAGCGGCTGGTGGCGGGCACCTGGCTACAGGCCTCTCAGATAGGGTCCGAGCAGATGGGGTCGGAGGATAAGACGAAGTCAAGACGAGGAGAAGTCCGGGTGAGGATGAAACGAGAAGCTCTGAGATTCGGCGGCTCTGGAAGGTGTATCGGGCGTCGCGGCCTTCTCGGAGCGGTCGGGAACGCTCTGAGACCGCTCAGGAACGCTCTGAAACGGATGTATCCTCATTCTAGCCCTGTTCGAGAGGATCGCGCCGTCCGGATGGGGTCCGAGTAGAGTCAACCCGCGTCATAAGAACGCATGCTAAGGATGCGCGGGCCTCAGACGGCCGTGTCGGCACTTTGCGGGCGGGGCGCGGCCAGCGAAAGCGGCCAGGGATGGGCCGAAGGGGAAAGATGCAAGGGCAACCTTGGTAAATCGCGCATCCTTGCTGTGCGGGTGACTGCAGATGGGGTCGGAAAATCGCACCGCATCGCCGATACATCGCGAAGGTGCACTAGGGCTCCCAACTTCGCGCTTCGCGCTGCGCGAAGCGCGAAGCGCGAATAACTTCGCGCTCTCGCGCCGCCCTCCCAAAGGGAGAATAGGAGGACGAGGAGGAGGGGGAGAAGGAACGAGGACCGCGAAGCGCGAAGCGCGAATAACTTCGCGCCCTCGAGGGAGCCGATGCATCGGCGCCGTCGGCGTGGAGAAAATCGTCCCACGCCCCTTGTAGACACTACGGGTGACCACGGCAAGGCAACGGACGCCGGAAAGGGTATTTCCAGGGTGAAGCAGCAGCCAGCACCGCAAGGACGCTGAGGGACGCTTTGGGAGGAATTGCAGGCATGCGCTACAGAAAATGCGAATAGATCAACACTGCAGACGGGTACTATGTTAGACGCCCCAGATCTCACTAATCCCTTGTGCCCCCGGCGCCATAGCAAAACAACTGTGAATCTGGTAGGCCCAGCACCTCACTGGGAAAGGCTGCAGCGCGAGATGCCCACCCTGCAACCCCGCACCGTACATCTACTACATGAAGCACTTCTTGGTCAAGCCCATACAGAGGAATCGAAATACGAACGTCTCTGCATGCTATTGTTGCTAATCGCACTGCTGCCCGTTCGATTACCCGTGCTAGTTATGTTTGTCTGCTGTCTGCTTGCCCACATGCTTACGCTTGCGCGGTGCTGACATCTTCTGCTGTGCTTTTGCTTGCGGCTGCACTCTGTCCTGGCGTCATCAGATCACTGCGCGCCCCGGAAACGGCAGGGCCGTTTGTTCACCGTTTCCAGAAAAATGTCCCTTGAAAATGGCAACGGCAAAAAAAACGCGACCGGAAACGGCAACAAAAACGGCTCCAGGATTGAAACCGGAGCCGGAACCGGTCAAACAACGGCGACGGAACCGGTAACAAAAACGGCGTCGGAACCGGCAGAAAAACGGCAAAACGGAACGGGTAAGAAAACGGCCCTGTCAATTTCCAGGGCCCACTAAGTGCGCGCGCTGCTTCTGCGCGTGATGTGTGCGCTGCTGCCCAGGCACCCGCCGCCGACCCTGTGCCTCCGCCTCCTGGGCGGACCCAGGCTGGCCAGGCCGTGGCAGACACAGTGCGGGCGCGGAGCGAGCCCACTGGACGGCGGGCGGAAGAGGAGGAACGACCGAGAGGGAGCGGCGGATGCGTCCTCCTGTCGCTCTGGGGCGGGGGGGGGCTCCAGGGCAAGCTGCCCCAGAGAGGGCAGCACAAGCCTCTCTGAGCAAGCCTGACTACCTACTAGACCACTCCAACCCAACCCGAAGACCCGAATTTCGGGTTGGGGGGGATACGGGTTCCATATGTGTCTTCTCGATGTTCCCCCCCCACCCCACCCCACTGGAAACGGAGGGCGAATGGAGGCCCTCGGGTTGGGTTGGGGTGGTTTGGTGGGTGGTGAAAGCCAACATCGAAAGGGAGCAGGCAGAAGACCGGAGCCGCTGCAGCCCTGGGACGGCAGGGAGAAAGGCCGCCAGGAGCCACAAGAGGAGGAGGAGGAGGAGGAGGAGGAGGAGGAGGAGGAGGAGGATTTTTCCTCGGAGGCCCTCGAGGCAGAACAGAGCAAAACCTGCCTAACCCGATCGACGGGAGGCAGCTGCAGCTTCTTCCCGCGCACGAACGCGGGCCGCCAGAGCCTCCATGCCAGGAGTTGACACGAGGCGCAGGCGTGAGGCCGTCGGTTTACCACCTTGTGTGGTCGCGGCCTCAATAACAGCCTCGGCGGAGCGACGGCAAGGGTCCGTGACACGATTATCATTGTAAAAGTGAGGATGGAGCCCCTGCTTGACTCGGGAGAGGGTCTGGGATCTCGTGCCCAGCTTCCCACAACACCGCCCCGCCAGCAAAACACACCTTTTCGAAGAGTAGGCACCACACCTGTAGCAAAACACTAAAGGTTCCTGGGCCTCATTGTCAATCATCGCGCAAGCTAGGAGGTGCCCCCGTTCCTCGGCATCCTTCAGATTCCGAAAAGCTGTGGGGACCCCCTTGCACCCTACCATCGATCTATCCTGTTCCCAGGTGATCGAGAAACACTTTGTGCACCTCCAAACTACCCCCGAGTCGATCTCGCACCAGTCGTGCCAACTCGGATCTCTGACAGCCGCCGTCGTCCGAAGGCCTCTGGCAGCGCGACGGAACTCCATCTTGGGGTAGCAGGAGAGCACAGCATCAAACATTCGAACTAAATCTTTCACACGCTTCACGCACACATCAAGAGCCTCGAGGTCTTCTGTCGGAGCCCCTGGGTGAAGTGTCAGTGCGTGCTTGGCTAACCTATCAGCATCAGCATTTCCCAGTGCAATGCGACGCTCCAAAATCGGTAAAGCCAAAATCACCTCCTCAGACCTGTGGGCAGGGGTGTAGGAGGCAGGTCCCAGACAGCCCTGAGGGTCGTGTTCCATGGCGAGCCTCCTAAGGCCAGCAAACATCTGCTTTGGGCACAGCTGTTCCCGACGACTAGCATTGTGCAGATTAACGGCACCAGAGCAGTCACTGTGAGGGGTGGCAGGGTAATCTATGACACAGCTGAGCGTTGCCATACCAAGATGCTCCGCCGACTGCGGGGTCTGGAAAAAGGTGGGCCATACTGTGCCCATCATCCGTGCCTGAATCTTGTATTCGGGGCCAGGTGCTAGGAACACAGCCCCGAACGCCGCGCGTTGGAGCTCCTTAAACACCTGCTGCGTTGCTGAGCCGTCGACCACGGGCTCACACCCACGGGCCAGCTCAAGAAAATCTTCAAAAGTGATTTCCTGGCCCTCGGAATCCTGAAAAATCGGGTCGAGGTTCCAGGACGGACCAGGGACCACAGGCTGAGGCACAATGAGCCTCGACCAAAACAAAAGCTCCTGGGGCTCGGCAGCTTTCACCTGATCAATCAACTCCTGACTGACATGCTCGAGCCTCTGTTCGGCCACACTCGGACAGAGCCATTGCCGATGGAACAGGGAGTCGGGTTCCCCGCACAAAGGACAACCCCCCCCGTGGTCATACCCGCACGCTCTCAACCGATCTCCCGTCCAACAGGCACCTGAAAACACAGCCGAGAGCCAATATTTTTGTCTGGCCGTGGTCTTACGTGAACGGAACAACTTAGCGACAGGGTCTGGGCAGACTCGGACATCATTGAAATCATCTAAATCGGTGGCCATCTTGCGCTCAAGGGCTCTCTGCACACCAGCCTCGAGCTGCTTGGCCACTAACGCTGGGGAGGTGTACATTAAATCAACCACGCGATCGCGGTCATCTCTCCACAGCGCAAAATTATCTGCACGCCACCCAATACGATGGAGGGAGAGGAGCATTCTGTGCACTGGACCTTTAGACTTACGCCAGACAGTGGGGCCTAACTCAGGAGAGGAACTCGATATTGTACGCCATATCCGAATGTGATCCCGAAAAGAGAAGTGGCACACCGTGGGCTCCGTGAGGCTCTGCCAGAGGCTGTTCGACCACTGAAGTGCTGGGGCAACCGCCTGACGCCACGCAGGGTCTCCATGAAGCACACACTTCGCTGTCAAGCTGGCTCCCCGATGAGCAGGAGACTTGCCTGACATAAGCACTGAACGTAAAGAAGCCAACTCATGATCAGAAACTCCTAGGACCATGCTACCGAAACCTGCTGCTGGCCGTACTCCTGCTACATATATCTTGTTAATACGCGTACGGTCCCTGGGAAGCTTCTTCTTATAGTGCTGGAGTAGCCGGCTACGAATTCGCATATCGTGAAACCGTTGCCGCCGCCGAGCTCTAGCCTTCTTAGCCGATAACCCCTGACCAGGTGCTAGGTCCACGCCCAGCGACACCGTGGAGTTCGTGGCCGAGGAAGGGCATATTGGCTGAAGTCGCCTGCACAGCTTGGAAGCTATCCTGCTGGACGACGAAAAAGATACCGCTTTGTCTTCAGCTAGCCGCACACCTAAACGTGTCTGAAAGACCCACTTCAAATCTTTCGCAGCCTTGACCAAATCGTGCATAATGACACTTTCAGGACCATGGGCCGAAACCGTGTCGTCGTCGACGTACGATCCCAAACTAACCCCAGGATTTCGGCTAGACCAGAGATCAAACTCGAACATCGCGTAAACCTTCACGAAAACATCATTGAAAATGTCCCCTGCTGGTAAACCGTTTTGCGCAAACTGAATAAGCGGGCAGTGATGAGCTCCCAGACGGAGTACTCTCGGGGACCTCCAGAGGTTGTACAAGACTTTTATGAGAACCGTTGGTATACGCCAGTACAGGGCCCGATCCCTCAGCCACAGGAGCCGAAAGGACTCATAGTACTTCATTCCGTCCCAAATGAAACCTGCCGTGTAATCGCCCTTTGCGGAGGTCTCCTCGGCTCTCACACTTTGTTGCCATATCGATACCTCTGCAGACTGCCCCGCACCAAAAGACCAGTAAGGCCGCTGGGCCCGATCCAGGAAAGCATCAGCCTGAGGTCTCCGAAGTCGCTCCCAAACTCGAACAAAAGATCCCAGAAGAAGAATCGGCCTGAGACCTCCTTTGGGCTTCTCCAGTAAAGGCAGCAGCATCCACAGTAGCTGCGCGGGGAAAAGGCCCAGCCGCTCCACGGCCTCGTAGAGCACGGCCAGGCACGTGAGGCCCTCGTCGGAGAGGGCACCAACATGCCGCGGGTGAAATCCATCTAAGCTCTGGGCGGTGTGGCGGCTGAAGCTCAGGGACGCTTTCCGAAGTTCATCAACGCTGGCCCGAGGGAAACATTGACGATCAGGAATCCAGGCTTCAGGTGGCTTCAAGTCCGCTCCCCAGAATCTTCCCAACGTCTGAGCTTCATCCTCCAGAAGGGCGTGAGGATCCGCAGTAAACACTCCAGGCGCACTCTGGATAACTGTCGGCTGCCAAACCTTTTTCAGCTTCGTAAAACGATGCATTATCCGAGCTGAGCCAGCGAGGGCCCGTTCCTGCCAGAGGTCCCACGACTCCCGCTGTATTCGATCCCCATCCGCCCCAGCTTGCTCATAATCCTCACGAACATCCTCTAACAACTGCTGAGCTAGCTCAAGCCACTCCTGCCGATGGAAGCTGCTGTGGTGTTGCCAGCTCCTCGCCAGAGTGCGCATAGCACGGAGGGAGGCATCAAGGCGCACAGACAGGCCTTCGCCAGGGCAGGAGTCCTGGAGCGATACCTGAAGCTGGATGCAACACTGCACGGCATCCTCGGTCGCATCTTGCACCGTCAGGGTAAATTCTTGAAAAGACTGGTACAGCCACCTCCAACCAGCAACGATCTGGAGCTTATCCTCAGGATCCTTCGGGCGATAGAAAACTGAAACCCAGGACGACTTGATCGTTCGCGAACGCTCACCCAACTCCTTCGGCTCGAAACCTAAAGTGCGGGTAAGCTCCAGCTCGGCGACATCCACAAACTGCGCCCATGCATTATTCAAAACACTCCAGGCCACCGTGGCCTTCTCGTGCATGGCCCAAGCCGCTGCCTGCGCAGCATGAGCAAGAGCGCCTTGCCACGCTGGAGGTTGAGGCCGCGGTCCGAAAGGCACATCAACAGGGAGACGCTGATAGCTACGATACACTAGCTGCCTGAGGGAAAGAGCATCTGCACGAACCTTGAGTTGGACAGGTCTGTGGGGCTTGACATCCCAAGACATGACCGCTGCAACTCCAGAAATCAATCTAGACAAACCGGGGCCCATGACGAAGAAATCAATAAGTGTGTTCGTAGACGGGGTACGACACGTGTGCTCAATCGGCGCCAGAACCAACATCCCCAGCTTGCGTGGAACTCCAGAAGCCTCCAGAACCTGTGGTGTGAGATTCCAGTCCCCCGCGAGGATCGTATGAGTTGGGTCATTCACCTGCTTACCTATCTTCGCGATCATCTGGACGTTGGCCTCGCTGAGGCCCTCCGATGTCTTCAAATAAACCGAGAAAACCGTCACCGTGGGCCATCCAGGAAAGTCCGCCAGAACCTTGATAGCTCGTCCAGGAACGACTGGGCCAGGACCTTCTGGAGGCCATCGTAAACCAATGCTGAGCCGTGCGAAGACGGCGACACCGCACGAGACCTTGCCTGTCTCAGCGTTCAGGAACGAGGGGCCGAACAAGGCGTGGAAACCGAGCGAGCGTGCCGAGGCCGTCGCTTGTCCCAAGAAAGAAACGCTGATGCCTATCTCCTGAGCGCACACTATCACCGCCGAAGTCTCTCGTAACCTTCTCCGAAGTGTCTTCCAACACGAACCGTTGAACGTCTCAATGAAAAACGGGTCCCCACTGGCCACCTTGGGGCCTCCACGAAGAGGCGGCACAGGTACACCAGCAGAGGACAGCGGAATGCCTGACAAGAGGGGCGCACGGCAGCAGTGAAGGGCGTCACCCGCACCGCTGCTTCTTCGCCCTGATACCAAACTGCTTGAGTAGGTCCGCGACCTCCTTCTCGTGGTCGGGGCCCTCCTTCCGCGCCGCGGCGATGACCTGCTGCACCTTCTCGTCGGAGAGCTCCTCCATGTCCGCATCGTCATCACCAGCACTGACCTCGGCCGCTTCGGGAGCGGCTCCTGGGGCTGCACCATGTCCGCCACCAGGAACCCGAGGAGCAGCCTGCTGCTGGGCACGCGCCGCTGCCGCCTTGGCCGCATAGAGCTGCCTGAACTTGGCGAACTCGGGCGAAGCCAGCATCGTCTTGACCCCATCCGCCTCGGGGCCCTCGAGCACGCTCGGGTCCAGCTCAAAGTCGACCTCCACCTGCTGCTCGGGGGCCGAGGGCGCCACCTGCTGCATCGCCGCCTGCAACTCGATCTTGAGCGCGTCGATGTCCACGCGCAGACTGCGCTGTCGGTCGTTGAGCTCCGCCAACGCCCGCTGCGCCTCCTCCACAACCTTATTCTGCTCCGCAATTGACTTGTCGAGAGCCTCGAACTTCTTCTGCTTGTCCGCCAGCTTGTGGCCCAACGTGGTGGCGCGGGACAACACTGGCTTCTTGGACTGCACCTCCGCCCGCGCCGCCTTGAGCTCACCCTCCACGGTCTCAATGGCCGACGCTGGTACTCCATCGCACTTGCGAAGAGCCTGCAGGGACTCCTCCAAGTGCTGCACTCTAACACGTAGTTTGTCATCATCCGAAGGCGGTGCGGCTTGAGCGTCGGCGCCACCACCTCCAGCCAGGGCCGAGCCGCCGCCTCCCCCTCCGTTGGCCGCGACACCCGCGGGAGGGCTCGACTTGGCGGCGACCTTCTCCATGATACGCTTCTCCATGGCTGCCAGCTGGCCTGACAGATCGGCTGGGGGGGCCCTTGGCCCACGCACCGCGAGGGCCGCGAGGCTGCCCAGGAGGTACGCCAGGAGGAGCACGAGCCGATGGGCCCAGAGAGGCAGCTGCGGTGCGCGCGCGCTCCACACTGGCCCTCGGGGCTGACTGCCCGCAGAGGCAACGTATCCGACAGGCGAAATTCTGGTTCCTGCCACAACTTGGACACCCCCAGTAGGGCGATCGGGGCCCTGGGAGTACATCCGCCTCATCACGTCGAGCCATGCACAGCACAGCTTGTCACAGGAATGCTTGCTCCACCAGGAGCTCACAAAGAGATTCCGAGCCACAAAGACCCGCAGGAGCGGCTGCCGCTCTGAAGACAGCTCCTGCAAGCCCAAAAACTTGGGCCAGAACGGCTGGGAGGAGGAGGAAGAAGAGGAGGAGCAGGAGGAGGAGGAGGAAGAAGAGGAGGAGGAGAAAGAGGAGGAGAAGACCGGTGCCAGCGAGGCGCCATCCAATGCCCTCCTGGAGGCGCCAGGCTCCGCGCCACCTCGCCATCCCATCCGCTCCTCGTCGCCAGCAGCAGCAGCAGCAGCTGTGCCCATCGCGCTGCTTGGCACAGCCGCCTCCTCCTCCTCCTCCTCCTCTCCTCCTCCTCCTCCTCCTCCTCCTCCTCCTCCTCCTCCCCTCCTCCTCCTCCTCCTCCTCCTCCTGCCTTCCTCCTCCTCCTCCTCCTCGGCCTCCTCCTCCTCCTCTCCCTCCTCCTCCTCCTCCCTCCTCCTCCTCCTGCCTCCTCCCTCTCCTCCTCCTCCCCCTCCTCCTCCCCCTCCTCATCCTCCTCTGCTCTCCTCCTCCTCCTCCTCCTCTGCCTCCCTCCTCCTCCTCCTCCTCCTCCTCCTCCTCCTCCTCCTCCTCCTCCTCCCCCTCCCTCCTCCTCCTCCTCCTCCCTCCTCCTCCTCCTCCTCCTCCTCCTCCTCCTCCTCCTCCTCCTCCTCCTCCTCCTCCTCCTCCTCCTCCTCCTCTCCTCCTCCTCCCCTCCTCCTCTCCTCCTCCTCCTCCTCCTCCTCCTCCTCCTCCTCCTCCTCCTCCTCCTCCTCCTCCTCCTCCTCATCCTCTCCTCCTCCTCCTCCTCCTCCTCCTCCTCCTCCTCCTCCTCCTCCTCCTCCTCCTCCTCCTCCTCCTCCTCCTCCTCCTCCCCTCCTCCTCCTCCTCCTCCTCCTCCTCCTCCTCCTCCTCCTCCTCTCCACCCCCCCAGGACAGCTCGGGGGCCAGCACCAGGGCCGCCAGGGGCGAGCCTGAGCCACGCCACAGCCATGACGGGGCCCCTCAGGGTGTCGCCGCCGAGGTCAAGCTCTTGCCATCGCGCGGACGTCCATTCCCTGTGCAGTTCTCGATGTCGTGCGTGCTCTTTCTTTTGCTCGATGGTCCAGGATGGTCCTCGATGGTTCTCGCCGAGAAAAAATGCACATGTCCGAGCGATGCCAGGAGCTGAGCCACAGCGCCGCATCGCACCCCCTCCCCCAGGAGGAGCGCCCCGCCAAACACCGAGGCCGCCGCTGGCGCTGGCGGCCCTGCGCCCTCGGTCCGGACCGGAAGGAAGCACCCGACGAGGCGACGGCTGCCTCGGGGACAGCTTGGTGACCGGCGGCTGCCAGCTCCGACCCCTGGGGCAACTGCGGTCCCCTGGGCGACCTTCGCAGACCAAAGGGGGGCCTCTGCCGGGGGGGGGGGGGCTGCGGGGGAGGAGAGAGAGAGAGAGAGAGGGCGGAGACGAGCTAGGCGCGCTCGTGCGGGGGGGGGGTGCTGCGGGGGAGGAGAAAGAGAGAGAGAGGGTGGAGACGAGCCAGGCGCGCTCGCGCCATAGCTGACCTCCTGTCCCTCCCTCCCGTCCCGTCCCGTTGCGATACTGAAGCTCTTCCATTGTAGCGAGATTCCAAGCGTAGCGGCCTCCAAGATAGCGAGTACCTTCCCCTCCGTGGTCAGTTCTCCGAATCGAAGCGGGCCTGTCTGCAAACGAGCCCTACTGTTTCACGGCAAAGATGACCGACCAGATGGATAGCATTATTGCCAAGTATTTACGCACTTTCGAGAGGGGGAAAGCCACCGACTGGACGGGCGCCCATCCCACGAGTTTACCGCATGCTGTTCTCCGAAGAAAGTGAAGGTCATCCCTACTAGGTGCGCACAAGCCTCTCGATGGTGCGCTTGGGTGCAGAAGATGGTCCGAGACCCCAATGCCCACGCCCAAGTCATCGCGGCCCTCTGGGGAATCCTGGGACACGGCCCGCCCGCCCTGGACTCCCGTGGACACCTCACTCGGCAAGCCCCACCGCTGGCGCACCAAGTAGAGATAGATCTATGGAGTTTTGCTGGTATTAGTGGGATGGGGGATTTTTACGAGAGGTGGGAGGAGTGGGATTATTCATATATCGCTCTTTCTCACAACGACGAAGTGAGGGACGCACTCCTCGCAGTGGACGCATCGATTTTGAGGCAGCCATCCTTACGGAGGGGGCGCTTTCTTCCGCCGCCTTCGAGGGCCTGCTCGAGCTATGGAGCCCCCGACGGAGGAGAGTCTCACCGCCTTTGTGTGCACGCTGAAGGACGAGCGCGGAATGTGGTGCTCACAAACATCCTCTTCGCACGGAGCCCTCACGTCACACATGTATAACTCATGTGGGGGGGGAAACGGCCGACGTAACCCGCTATTCACATGTGTTAATTGCAACATGTGTCCATGGTGTAAACAAACATTCTCTACGAAAGACAGTACCCGTCAACATGTACGCACAGTATGGGATTGTCAAGTGTGTCGAATGGGACGAACTTCATTCCGATGGCCACCCATACCTCCGAACGAATATCGTTGCCTGTATTGCGATATCACATTCGACACGATCGACCTGTATAATGATCATGCGACGTCACACCATCTTCCCCGTCCTCCACCTGCTGCAGTTTTCCCTCGAGAGCGAGGGGCTGGGCCCATCGGCCCTCGGACGGGACCTCCAGCGCGACGGGAGCGAGATGTTCCCCGCCGAGGGCGCCACCGCGGTGGCCGAGCAGCAGCCGAGGCGCGTGAAGGCCAAGAACGACGGACAGGCCAAGACAGACCTCGGACTCAAGGGCGGCCAGAAGACGTTGCAGGTGCTGATGTTGAAGTTTCTTCTCCAGCTGGGCCAGTCCAAGCTCAACGTCGAGGGAGTGGTGTTCGATTGTCTGATCCTCGACGGTGCCAGCCAGGAGGCAACCCAGATGAGCGCCCAAGGTGCACGCTACAACGAGGCCGTCACGGCCTCAGGCAAAAGCCACAATCATGCCCCCCCGCATTTGTGGGTCTTCGGCGGCCTCCTCACGGCACTGCACCAGCGCAAGGACGCGGTCCGAGCCGCCAACGCCAAGAAGCTGATGGAGCTGAAACAGATCATCGAAACGTGGGACATGACGAAGCGGGGGGACATGATCAAATTCTGCCAGATGGATCGGTGCTACGACAAGCGCAAGCTCATGCTCCACCTGCACCCAGAGACCCGCCAATGTATCATCGACGCGATGGTCCAGACGGGTGCGGAGTGGAAGCAGGGTCGGGCCCCCGTCAGCCACATGGAGCGCGAGCTTCAGGACTGGCTGGAAGCCTTCACGAAAGAGTAAGTCGACTACTTCATGCCGCAACACGTCCAATTAGCCCCCCGCCCTCGGTGGGCACTGCCTTAATCTCTGGTCCCCTTCGGGGGGACTTGGACCTTGGACGGGGGGAGAGGGCTGATGACGAGACGTGGAATGACGGCACGAATGGTACAGTGGATAATGGGGACAAGTTTCTACCGATGAGCTATGGTATGATGAAAGCGGACTTTACGCGACCTGACGTGACCTTGGCTCCGATTCTCGACACGGGCGTTACAGAGACGAGCCCATTGCGACCTGCGAGACCAACTACGACCTTGGGAGCTCCGAGTTCGGGGCCCACACCTCCCTCTTCGAGGCCCACGGCCTCGGCACCTCCCTCCGCTCCTACGACCTCGAGGCCCGCGGCTTCGGCACCTCCCTCGGCGACCTCAAGGCCGCCTCGCCCTTCGGGAGCTAGGCCGCCTGCCTCCTCTGAGTGGGCGGGCAGACGATGGGAGGCTCCCGATTCAGTTCGTGTTAGAGAATACAAAAAAAACGACCGGTTTTTCCAGGAAGTCCCAGTTTTGAGAAGTTGTTCAATAGCGCTCATATAATTAGACTCGCGAGGGAGGAATTCGAGCGAAGAGTAGACCCCCTTCCCCGTCCTCCTGGTCCTCCCGAGGTCCTGGGGCCGTGACTCGTTCCCTTTCGTTGTCGTGTCGCCCTCCCTACTCTTCGCTGGGCCCCGTCTTGGGTAACGCGTGCCCTTGGCGGTCCTCGGGGCGGGACGCTAGCTTTCGGCGATGCTCCGGAGGTCCACCTCGCCCCGCTTTCCGTCCCCTTCGGGATTTTCCTCCGAACCTAGAGTAGATCGAGGTAGTTCAGCCGATCTGTGGAGGTTCTTCGGAGCGCTTGTCCTTGTCTTTGTCCGTCCCGTTGCGCTGTTGTCCTTCCTCTATCCGCGGACGCGTGTCATAGCCGACCTGGAACTCCAACAAAGACCCCATCGTATTATACGCAGTCGGACAAGTTGAGCTGCGCACATCAGGGAAAGAGGTGACGGGTGAGCAAGATGTTGAGCAGGAGGAAAGGAGGAAGAGGAATTAGAAGGACGAGGACGAACAGCAGAAGCAACACCAGAGGGAGCTAGAGTGGAAGGAGCGGGAGGAGCATGAGAACCAGAGGAAGGAGGAGGGAAAATGAAGGGGGGGACAAAGATGCAGAAGGACTTGGATCCAGAAAAGTGGCCCGCTCTGGAGCGAAACCGCCATTCCCAACGACGCAAGCAAAGTGCCGTTCCGAAAGTGAGGTCCACGCTGCAGCGGGCACACCGCTTTGAAACACCGAACACAAGCGGAATGCAAAAAAGCAAAACAAAAACACCGTTGTTCAATTACCTAACAGCTTTTACTGATAAGTTTCTAGTGGGGTCAAAAGATTAGGAACCGGCAGAAACCGGCAGCCCCAGGGGGGTCTGGGCGGGAACCGGAAAAAACCGGCAGCCTCAGGAATCCTTCTGAATTCCAGAGGAGTTCTTGCATTCTTCCATCAGAACACCATTCCCACGCCACATTTTGAATGCCCGGAGCCACCTGTAGGCTATTTCGTGTTCTTCGTGTTCTCAGAACACCATTCCCAGGCCACATTTTGAATGCCCGGAGCCAACTGTAGGCCACTTCGTGTTCTTCGTGTTCCCAGAATACCATTCCTGTACCATATTTTGATTGCCCGGAGCGAACTGTGAGCAATGGCAGGCTGAGGCTGAGGCTGAGGCCGAGACAGGCTGAGTTTGAGGCTGAGGCAAGCCGAGGCAGGCTGAGGCTGAGGCTTAAGCTGAGGCAGGCTCGGGCTGGGGCAAGCCGAGGCAGGTTTAGGCTGAGGCTGAGGCAAGCTTAGGCTGAGGCAGGCTGAGGCTGAGGCTGACGCAGGCTGAGGCCGAGGCAGGCTGAGGCTGAGGCTGAGGCAGGCTGAGGCTGAGGCAGACTGAGACTGAGGCTGATGCAGGCTGAGGCTGCGGCTGAGGCTGATGCAGGCTGAGGCTGAGAGGCTGACGCTGAGGCTGAGGCAGGCTGAGGCTGAGGCTGAGGCTGATGCAGGCTGAGGCTGAGGCTGAGGCAAGCCGAGGCAGGCTGAGGCTGAGGCTGAAGCTGATGCAGGCTGAGGCTGAGGCTGGCTGAGGCTGTGAGGCTGAGGCCGAGGCAGGCTGAGGCTGAGGCTGAGGCTGAGGCTGAGGCTGAGGCTGAGGCTGAGGCTGAGGCTGAGGCTGACGCAGGCTGAGGCCGAGGCAGGCTGAGGCTGAGGCTGAGGCAGGCTGAGACTGAGGCTGAGGCAGGCTGAGGCTGAGGCTGAGGTCGAGGCAGGCTGAGGCTGAGGCTGACGCAAGCCGAGGCAGGCTGAGGCTGAGGCTGAAGCTGAGGCAGGCTGAGGCTGAGGCTGAGGCTGAGGCTGTGGCTGAGGCTGAGGCAAGCTACGGCTGAGGCAGGCTGAGGCTGAGTGAGGCTGAGGCAGGCTGAGGCTGAGGCTGAGGCCGAGGCAGGCTGAGACTGAGGCCCAGGCAAGCCGAGGCAGGCTGAGGCTGAGGCTGAGGCTGAGGCTGAGGCAGGCTGACGCTGAGGCTGAGGCAGGCTGAGGCTGAGGCAGGCTGAGGCTGAGGCCGAGGCAGGTGAATCCTTCGGAATCCTTAGGATTCCCTAGGAATCCTTAGGAATCCCTAGGAATCAGGATCCCTAAGGATTCCTAAGGTTTCCTAAGGATTCCTATGGATTCATAAGGATGCCTAAGGATGCCTTAGGAATCCTTAGGAATCCTTAGGGTTCCATTGGATCCTAAGGCCGTTGCCACTGCGACTGTCACTGCGAATGCGACTGCGACTGCGAGAACAGCAGAATTATACAACTGGATTCTCGCCTGAATCTTAAGGGGAATGCTTCCAAATATGCTTATATACATCGCTGTTAGGTTGCTTTGCCGGGATACTATGTTCCTTCTTTCTTGATGTATATAAATCAAAAAAACGTACGTGGAAAGAGAGAGTGGAACACCATCTGGACAAAGTCAGGGGAGAGAGGATATTAGTATCCAGATTGAGTAATTGTTGATGTGAGGGGGGGTATGGGGAGGAACAAGTAAGTTCTCATTCTCTTGACAAGGGTGTGGCTGATGGCAACGATCTCGATGTTGCTCTTCTGGTTTCAACGGCTGGGAAGCATTCGCCGATCGACGAAACTGGGGCACAATTTTACGTGTCGGTCCAACGTGCTAGCAGTGCTATTCAATCGAGTAGCGGTGTGTGCACCCCTTCACTCTCTGCCCGATCTGATGGTGCCTTGAGCCTGCCTTGCCTGGCTTGACACTTCTCTGACAGCGGAGCACGCCATCACACCGTGGTCGCAACTTCTTCCTTGACGTTTAGCATCCAGATGATGTGGAACACAAACATGGGGGAACCGTACACGAAACAAAGCGGGGTGGGGCGAGACACCAGTCAAGTCGAAGCCGGGGTCAGCCCGAGCAGTCCACCAAAATGACCACATTTGGGGTCCTCTCGGAGGCCTCTTGGGCTTTCTTGGGGCCATTTTGGAAGCGTCTGCAGCCTTCTCTTGAGTCTCTGTTGGGGTCCCTCCGAGAGCCTTCGGGGGCCTCGTTCTGGGCATCCTGTAAGCCATCAGCCAAAACAGCGGGAGCCTTACTTGCTGCATCCCCCTCGGGAGCCCGAAACGTTGACTCCTCTGAAGCTCTCGTGGGGGAGCTCTCGGGGGGCATCCAGCTCCTGCAGGGGCTCTTTTTTGTTCCGTGCCTGCGCGGGAGCACGGAGCCAGGCGACGAGCACTGCGAAGCGGCGTCTCTGGCGCGTTTCTGGCCAAGAGAGCTCCATCCCCCTGAGCACGGAGAGCTCCATCCATCCCTGGCCATTCCCGAGCGCCAGTGCGGCATCCCTCCAACCGCCGCCACGGTCCTGGCGCGCACCGTCGTCGCGAAGCCGCGCTCTGCGCTGAGGCGGAGGGGCCGCGTTTCGTGGGCGGAAAATATGTCCGCATCCGCGGACTCGCGGGCCGGGCCCCTGGGCCGCGACCCCGCGGATACGGGGCGTCGTTTAGCAAAGCGCCCCCCGCATGGAACGTATCCGTGCGACCGCGTATCCGCGGGGTCGAGCCGCGGAATCCAGGCCGCGAGGGCGCGGATATGGATCTTCGAGTCGCTCGTGATCGCCTCCTCCCGGCACCGAGGTGGAGTGAGCCCTCCTCTCCAGAGCAGGGCGCCCGCCCTGGCCACGCGCGGGTCGCCTGTCCAGCCAGCCCCAGGGCGCCCCCCCCCCTCTCCGCACCCCCCGCAGGGAGCGGAGGGGGCCCGCCCGGCCAGCTCGGCCACCGCGGGCGCTCGCGGGGGTCGCCGGAGGCCTCGCCCTAATTACCTGGCGCCCACCTCGCTCAGGAGGCCTGCGAGGAACCCCGGGTCGCCCCTGGCGGCGTCCCGCAGCAGGGCGGCCCGCCCCTTGGCGTCCGCGGCGGTCCAGCCGCGGAGCCTCCTCTCCACGGCAGCTATGACCTGCTCGTCCTCCCACATGGGCGACAGGTACTCGCCCCTGCCAGCCAGTGAGTCCGCGATCATGGCGCGCATCGTCGCGACGAAGTCGTACTCTGCGCTGAAGTGGAGAAGGCTCTTCGCCCGGCAGGTGTCCGCCGTGGTCCCACGCATGTCGTTCTTGCGTGCCGGAGCACGTTCCTGGTTCGGGGACACCAGGTCGGCCACCTGCTGTACCGTGTGCGCCTCGCCAGTGCCGATGTTGATCACCGTGCCGCGGACGGGGCTCTGGTAGCTCAGCACGCAAGCGCGAGCCACATCCTCCACGTGCACAAAGTCGCGGAACTGCTGCCCATCGCCCTCGATGACCAGTGGCTTCCCCGCGAACAGGCGTTTCAGGAAGATCCCCGTGACGATGGAGTACGCACCCTCCGACGGATTGCGCGGACCGTACACCATGAAGAACCGCAGGCTCAGGGTAGGGATGTTGTACAGCTGGTCGTTTGTGAGCATCTCCAACTCTCCCATGTATTTCGACGCGGCATACGGGGACGTGGGAACGAACGGGTCCTGCTCGTGGAAGGGGATGTCCTGGTTCCCATAATAAGTCGACGATGCCGCGAAGACGACCTTCCGAACCAGGTGCGTCTCGTTGGCAGCCTCGAGGATGTTGCTGGTGCCGACCGCGTTCTGCTCTATATTGAACGTGGCCATCTTCGGGCTCCTCAGCGAGGGCAGCACCTTGCTGGCGGCCGCGAGATGGAACACGCCTCTGACGCCGGCCATCGCCCGCCTCACGGCCGCCCTGTCCAGGATGTCGCCGAGCACAAACTCCAGGCGCGGGTGCCTGAGGTCCAGGAACTGCAGGTTCCCCGTCTCCAGGTTGTCCAGCACCCGCACGACGTAGCCCAGGCCCAGAAGCTGCTGGACCAGCGTGCTCCCTATGAACCCCGAGCCGCCGGTGACCAGAACCAGCTCCCCCGGCTCTGCCGCTCGTGATGGGCCGATTGTCCGCCGCCACTACCACATGTAGGAGAGGGAGGAGGAGGAGGAGGAGGAGGAGGAGGAGGAGGAGGAGGAGGAGGAGGAGGAGGAGGAGGAGGACCTCCCCCGTCCTACCTGTGGTAGCGGTGGTGGATGATTGGCCCCTCAGCTCGGGGCCTGCCGCCGCCGCCAGCGCCGACCCCGCGGCATGGGTCGAGCCCCCCGGGCGCCTTCGGGCGGGCTCCGGTGGCGGGCGGGTGCAGCGCCGACCGCAGCAGGAAGCCCAGGGTGAAGCAGCCGAGGGCGAAGAGGAGGATCGGCCGTGCCCCAAGGCTGCTGAGCAGCAGCCTGTACCTCAGCCAGCTCTGTGCCTTGTGCTGCGGGTCGTCCCCTGCCATCCGCGCCGCCACGTCGCGCCGCCCCGCCCCGAAAAACGATCAGGGCGGGCGCGCTGGCCAAAATCGCTGGAGCAAAAATTGCTCCTGGAGCTCTAGGGTAGGGCCCCTCTGGGCCTGGCACTTCTGCGCCTGTCCTGAAGCAGTGGTGGGGCCACCCTGAGCCTCAGAAGCCAATCGGAAAGGGTAGATAAATCAATCATCAGTGCACCACCTGACGTCCTCTCGGGGCATACTTGGAAGGCTCCGTGGCCACCTCGGGCCGTCTCGGGGCGGTATTGAGGCCTCTTCAAGGCATGCCGCAAGCCATCCTGCACGAGCTTGGAGGTAGACTTGGGCTATCTGGGGCCACCTTGGAGCCATCTTGACGCTCTGACCGCTTGCAAGCCCCCCTCCCCCCGTCCAGGCCCCAGGGAGGGGTATGGGCGAGGGGAGGGGCAAACTCCTCCCCCGAAGAGGAACCGCGGTTTACGAATACCTCGTGCCCCGACCCACCCAGCCAGAGGGCCGCTGGGACGGAGGATCTTCGTGCCCCAGGAGCCCTTCGACCGCCAGGCTGCTCAGGCGCGGCGCTGACACAGAAAGAACTGCACCCGTCTCCGCTGCCCGCGCCAGGTCCCCGTGCCACCGCGGCCTCGTCGTCGGTCTTGTAGGGCATGACCGGCACCACTGGCCCGAACTGCTCCTGTGTCTCATGATCCTCCTCGTCCGCCGCCTCCACCTTCTCCTCCTCCACCCTCTGCGCTCTCCTTTCAGTTTTGGTTCTCCTCCCTCTCCTCGACCTCCGGTCCGCCGCGGCCGACTCCCGCTCTCTCCCATTATTCCTCCCCCCTCTCTTGCATCGGACGGCTGCAACCCTCTGCGGCACGGGATCTGGTGGCCGAGATTCCGAAAACAGGCATTCATACATGAATCGATCCATCATGGTAAAGGAATCGTGCCGACAAGAGGAGGGAACGGATGACGATTATGATGACGATGATGACGATGATGGTGATGGTGATGGTAATGATGGTGATGATGACGATGATGCTCATGATGATGGTACTGATGGTGATGGTGATGATGTTGATGTTGAAAATGATGATGATGATGATGATGATGATGATGATGATGATGATGATGATGATGATGATGATGATGATGATGATGATGATGATGATGATGATGATGATGATGACGATGATGATGATCTCAGTAGGCGTGATAGCCGCCACCTCCGCAGCCGCCTTTCACAATCACTCGGGCCGCCCGAACCATCCCGCCGTATCTCACCAGGCGTTATAGCCTTTCCCACCGCCTTTCCCACCGCCGCCCCAGCCGCCTCCACCACCGCCACCGCCCCAACCACCTCCGCCGCCTCCCCAACCACCACCGCCTCCACCGCCTGTCTTCCAGGGGCCCTCGCAAGACGAGGCTGAGTACTTGCCCTTGCGGTCGTCCCACTCCACCTCGTACGTGACGGATGCGCCCTCTTCTATATACGCGGTGCGGTCTTGGCCATCCCCGTGCACTTTGCGATGCAGGAACACGTCATCGCTACCGTCGTCAGGAGTGATGAAACCGAAGCCCTTGTCCTCGAAGAACTTCTTGACCTTCCCCGTCGGCAT